CCCCTTCCCTCATAATCCCCCCCCCCATCGTCCCCCACTACCACCACCACCATCGTCATCATTATTATCCCTTTTCTCTTTCTTTCCTCTTTTGTTTTTATACACAAACATCCTGAACATTTATACATAAATAAATATGATATTATTTTTATTATAAAAAACACGACGCGCGAATAATTTTTACCGTTAAAAATAATAATAATGATAATGATAATTGTTGATAATATTTATATATATATATATATATATATATATATATATATATATATATATATATATATATATATATATTCTGTGAGTGCGTGAGAAAATCGTAGTTTAAAAAATTTTCTTTTTCTTTCTTTCTTTCTTATTTTTAAAAAATTTTTTTCGTTGGTGAATAATAATGATAATAACAAATAATAACAATAATAATACTGATAATAATAATAATGATTATGCTTTCGCGCTTTAACGTATGTAAAATTTTTTTTTATTAAATAAAATAATATCAATCACACACACACACCTAAATATTCAAACACGGATAATATAATATTGATCGACGCTTTATATATATATACTAAGAATAATAATAATGCTAATAATAATATATGAATAATAATAATGATGATGATGATGATGATATAAATTTTTAAAAAAATAATTATTTAAGTTTATTATTATTATTACGTTTTCTCTTCTCAATTTTCTGGTAATTTTTATACGGAAATAAATAAATTTATTTATTTAAAAATTAGTTAGATTATTTAGGTTTAATTACATAAATTTATATATATAAATAAATAAATTATTAATATTATTATTATTATTAATTATTTTTAGATTTTGTTTTTTTTTTTAAAATAAAACTTTTGACGTCACTGATTTGTTGTTGTTACGTATATATATAAATAAATAAATAATTGTAATAAAAGCACCGTGGCACAATGTAAAAAAAATTATTATTATTATTATTATTATTATTAATAATCATTCGTAAATAAATTAACAAATAGATATTATTATTATTATTATAATCATTTTTTTTCTTTATTTATTTATAAAAAATTTAACAAAATTATTATTATTAACGTAATTTTAATTAATTTTATGTACATAAAATCCATAGGAATTTTCTTATTTTTACTATTACTTAAGTTTAGCTTCCTCCCTCCCCTCTTTCCACTCCATTAAATAATTTTATTATTATTATTATTATTATTATTATTATTATTAAAAAATTATTTTAATCGTTGTAATTATTTTTAATTCGAAACAAAAAAAAAAAAAAGTGTTCCTTTTTATTACGATGAGAATGTGAAATTATTTAATAATAATAATAATAATAATAATATGAATGTAGTTTAAAACAATGAATAAAATGTAAATGAGTATATTATTATTATTATTATTATTATTATTACCGTCGAGCTAACTACGATAATAATAATAATAAAATTATATATATAAATATAAAGGGGGAAAAAAAATATGTAAAAAAAAAAAAAAATTATTTAATTTCATTTTGTTGATGCAAATATATATATATATATACTTTTCATTTGTTGTAATAGCATTTAATAAATCATATCAAGTAATATTTCAAAAAATTATTTATTTATTTATTTATTTTTGGCGCGAATTTCTTCGTTCGCAAAATATCCGTTCGTTCTTTCATTTTTTTTGGGGGGAAATAATATTATTATTATTGAAAACAAAATAAATAATAATAAAATAATGCGTTTAGTTTGTCTACCACGCCGCGTTTTTGTTTAATAAATAAAAAAAAAAATGGTGACTGATTAAAAGAAATTAAACAATTTATTTATTTATTTATTATTTATTATTTATGACATATACTGCTCACACGTACATATTATTATTATTATTATTATCGGGTAATCGGATCTTACGATAAGTTATAAGAGTTAAACGGGGGGCTAAAAATTTTTCTTTTTTTTTTTTACATGTGTTAAACATATTCGGACGTGTTTAATGAAAAAAAATTTAAAGGTTTTAAATTAGTTTTTGAAAGAAAAAAAAAATTACGTAATTTAAAATTATTAAAAAGGTAAGTTTTTTTATTAAAAAAAAAATTACCATTAAAAAGTAATAAATAATTTTTTTGTACGTATGAGTAATAATAAAAAAAATTATCGTCGTTTTAAAATTTAAAAATCCCTCCGGTTTTAAAAAATAAAAAAAAAAAATTTATTAAAATTTTTCTTTAAAATTTGTCTTACCCCCTTCTTTACGATTATTATTATTATTATTATTAAAGTGAAAATTATTATTATTATTATTTTTATTATTATTATTATTGGAAAGAAAAAAACGATTTGAAAATTATATGGTTATCAATCAATAATAATCAATTTGGGGGAAAAAAAATGATAAATAAAAAAAGTTTTCCATTTAAATTTTTTGATCGTTTCCGTTACTTACTTACATTATTTATATAAA